TATTTTTTTCAGGAAAGATGCCGGCTGCATTTTTAAAAGAATATTGCTTGCCTTTTGCATTTCTAAGACTTGACAGCCACATGGTAAAGTGTCAGAAAAGAGAAATGCGCTCTCTCAACACAAACCTAGAAACACCACCTTTTGAAGCTTATTTAGACATGGGCAAATGTTTCTTATTGGAAGGTATGTGCCTAAGTATTGAAAGAACAGTAAAAATACTCCAGTCAATCAGCCGTTACTTACTGCATTGGTTCAGCTGGTGGTACTGGATCCTGCTGCAGAAATTCTAAAGCTGGACTTTGCCTGTTCTTTTAAGTTGTGTTGCTTAGGGTTTGTAAAATGCCGAATGTATCTTGCATTCATGGCCACGCAGAGGAGATAACAACCAAGATGTTACAGGCAGTGCCATAGAGCAAAGATTTGAAAGGAGCTCTGGGTAGCTTCCTCAGTAAAGATGCTGCTGATCTGAGAGTGCACACTTGGTTATTAGCACCTGCAGTGGGTGGGCTACAATTCTGTACCACATACTCTGAAGGTGTAAAGTAAAATAAATGTTGGTATGAAAAAGAGCAATGCCAAGTTAAAGTGACTGCCTATTATCTTGGAATAAGGTTATGTCAAAGTAAAAGCACTTTCCTTTTCTCAGACTGTCAGCTGTGAATATTCAGTCCACCTCAGCTATCCATGCAGAGGTAATCGCTGCATTTTTTTCCTCTGTTCTTTTTTCTTTCTGTGCTGAGTCCACACAGCTACAGCTCTGAATTGAAGGTGGTAAAGACAGAGTGTTTCTCCTTTTAGGTGGCATGTGACCTTTACTTGCAATAAAATGGCAAGATATTCTTTAGGGGAGACTTACCTGCTTTAGACTATATGATGCCCAGGCTGCCACAAACAAGAAAGTGTTTTACTAAATTGCAACAGCAATCTTACAATTGCTGTAAAACTGCAAGAGTGTAAAAAAGCAAAGGAGAAATTATTTAATCCTGTAATTCTGTCTGTCTGTCAGTAGGTAGTTTAAGCCATTTGTAGAACCCATGAGGGACTTCAGATCAGTTGCTCTGATAAGGGCTTCTAGTTTTCTAGCCTTTTGAAGAGCTCAGTTCCAGTAATCCTCCCTTTCTTCCCCCTTCCCTCCCTGAAGGTCATCACATTCCAGTTTCATAGATGAAAGGATGTTACCAGAATCATTGCACAACTTCTATGCGAGAACAATTGGCAGGGTGGTGTCTGAGCTGGCCTTTTTAGCTGGATACTGCCAAGAAAGCCAGCTGCTGAAGGATTGCTGCAGTCCTGGCAGTCTTTCTAGGCCTACGGTTGAGCAGATGTGGACAGAGCTCTTGAGTTTCAGATGATATTTGGGCTGGGAAGGGATTTTGAGGTCCTGTCTGAACGCTCAAGGACTGTTTGGGTACAAGTGGGACTAGCTCTGGTACCTAGTCACTGCTGTCTCCAGTCGCTGCTTGGTTTGACTTTATGGTCCCAGAAAACGTGGTAATTCTGTAGTAGCAGTGAACAGCCTGCTGTGCTCCTGTGTACCAGTGGGGCTGAACCAGCAAATGTTAGCAGAGCTGAACGTTGGGTGTGTCCTTGTTGCATAATATTCCAAACCCTACTCAATTACCATGTGGCATCACTCTTCAAGTGCAGGATTTTATAGTGGAGTAGGAGACTAAATATTTTGCATTGCAGAGGAGAGTAATTGCACAGGATGTGGAGAGAAAGGAAAGCAGACAAGGAACTTGTGCCCAGTTCTTGTTCAATTCCTGGTGCTTTGCTTCACCACAGCTGCAGTTCTCTTCAAAAGGTGGTAATAACGTGGTAGGTAGCGAGAAGAAAGCACTGAATATGTTTTCAGGTTCTTTGTAATATTGTTGTAGCCATGGTGATAGAGAGGTAATAATTTCATTAAATTAACTGATGGTTCTGGAGTGAATTGTGAATTAATAGCTGACAGGTAATTTTGAGTCCCACAAACCTGAAGAAAACAAGTGTCTTCCAAATCTGTCAGTTGCTGGAGTAGGTGATTACCTCTCTGTAGAGCTGGAAGACGTGTGCCTGGATCTTGATTACATCTGAAAGCACTCTTCAATCTATAAGGACAAATCTAGAATCATAAACTCTTTCTATGGGAAAGAGTATAAGGAAGACTGTGAAGTGGTTTCCAAATACAAATTAAGGCTACTCTTTAATCTTTAGCCTGGAAGGCCCTCAACAGCTTGGAGAAGGGTGTGAATGTGTTGAGGGTTAAAACTATAAAGCGACTGAAGTTTCTTCTGCTTGAAGCACTGTACACTCCATACTTTGTGGGAGTATGGAGAGAATGTGTGTATGGGAAAAACTGAATTCCTGGTCATGAGAGAGGGGGCTGATCATGGCAGTTGTATCCAGTGTTACCTTCCTACCCTCGTAGCGATGAAACCTCATGTGTATTCTGATGGGATTGTACATCACTGACTTAAAATACTGCCAGAATTTGTGCATTTCTGTATAGGAGACATGCAGGTGCAGCTTTCTCAGAAAGTTCTATAGTAGCTTTTTCTGCATGTAGGTTGTTCTGGACACTTGTGCTTTTATTGATTGTCTCAATGTTAGAAATATGAGTAGTGGCTTTTGGCCACCAGCTGTAGTATCTTGCAGGAGGCTTGTTTCTTTTTATGTTACTGGGTTTGGTTTTTTTTTCACCTTCACTTTTCAGTCTGGGCTATTTTAAATAACCAAATAATTGGTCTGAAAATGTAAGAGAAAGGTGGGCCTCCAGTAGAGGACCTGATCTGATGTGAGCTGATTAAAAAGTTTCATAAGCAAAAGATGCCTTTGTGTTTTACTGAAATCTTACTGCTTTGGGTGAAAGAGGAATTAAGCTTCTGCAGCAACTCTGGGGGAGAAAATATTAAGAAGTAATGCTGTTAATGGTGGAGAACAGATGTCTTAAATGGCAGTAAATGCTGTGAAAAAGATGAGCTCCTACCCACTAATGATAGGCCAAGTTTTGCAAACTTAACAGGTTTCATCCTTTTTTCTCAGGCTTTGCCTTTGATGGGATTTTTGCCTTTGATTGCGTGGCTGTGGGTGGAATGTCTGATAGTCTTGGCTACAAAAACGATATAGGTTCTTAAAATTACATTTGTTCTGGCCTGGAGCAGAATTATGTGGGTGTTGAGACCTGGTGTTCCTGTTGGTTAATCACCTTATGTTATCTACAACTTTAAAGGATGATGATTAATATCTAGCAGCTGACTTCACTCTGTGGCATAGACCTGCACTGCTGTAGATTTAATACTTCAGTACATGAGTCACCCATCTGGTGAAGGCAGTGTTTGGATAATCAATTATCCAGAAAAATACTCTGTGGACCAGAGACAAGTAATTATAAATGTTACTTACCATAGTCTCATCTATGGCATAGTGCTTAATCTCTTTAGCACATTAGAGTATTAGTTGATGAGAAATACATTCTCATCTGCTTAGGTGAGAGGATGTAGATCTCTTTCTGGCCAACACAAACAGAAATGTGCTAGGCTAGAATTTAATCAGCTGGTAAATAGGTTGTCCTATGCATAGGTGAACAGCAGG